AGTGTGGGTAACCTGGTACAGAAGACAGTGCTATTTGAAGACTAGCACTAGCAGGCAGAACGGCTGAGTCTGCAGAAGAGGACTTGCCTTCTTTGCTAATCCCCAATATTTTCCTGTGGTTGCTGTTTGACTCCTTGGAGGAGAGATGTGAGGTCCAGTTGAGAATGATTTAGCTCAGCCTCCCACAACTTGTGCCCTCCAGATCTTTTGAGCAGTACCTTCCATCATCTCCAGTCATCAGCCATGCTGATGGGAAGGATGGAGTTGTAGTCCAACATATCTCCAGAGCACCAGGTTGGGGAAAGTTGCTCTAGCCAGTAGGAAGGCTGATTCTCTTTGGCAAGCTGCTAAGAAGAGTAGCACCGGCACTGAGGGATGGGTTAGCTTCTTCTTCTTCTTGTTAGACCCTATTAATCTGAATCAATACTTGTGACCTATTGTTTCAATTATTTTATTGCTGTATTGAAGTTATGCTGTGCTGATTGAATTGTTGGGTGTGACTCTTTCCTGAATTTGCTATCTTTTTTAACAAACTTGCTGTTGCCATTTTCAAATGTGATGCTGTCTGGGGATCAGTCAGTACTTTTTGTGAGCCACTTTGAAGAGAGTGGGAAAGTGGTGTATAAATAAGCCTCTCTAACAAAACATTCTGGAATGCCCTGATCCATAGAGACAACTTTGGACAATCTGAAGGGCACTTGGGTCACACGTTAAGTCTTCTGCAAACAGTTGTCATTTTTACAGCCGTCCTATCCCTTCTGCATTTGCCAAGGGACTTCAGTTGCACTGCCATTCTATTTGTCCTTCCTTCCTTTCAAAAGAGAAATCACTTACACATTCATTGCATCTCCTTTTCCTAGTTTTTGAATGGGATATCAGTTACACAACCATTCTGACTGCCCTTCCTGCCTTGAAGAAGCCTGTTCTTGGAGGTGGATCAGTAGCACCTCCTGGGCATTGTATGGATAGGATATGACATCTCAGACAGTGGGCCTGTGTTCAGAAGAACCAGGGAATGGTTCTGGTTCTTCTGCAAGGTCATTGTCATCGGAGGCTTTAGTCTCTGAACACAAGTCCTGGACCATGACCATACCTACCATGACTGTTTCTACTGCCACACGTGTAGAGTCTTCTGGTCCTGATCTGAACACCTTCAGACTTAACCCTGAGGTGGAATGCTAGGCCTGATACATAATTTTGCTGCCCTATTTGTAGTTGATGAAATGGAGAGAGCCCTTCAGCCACTCCGAGGGGAGGGGACTTTCTGACCCTCTGCCAGAAACCCTCTCTCATCTGCTGGAAGCAGTGCTATAATATATCTGTGATGGAGGGCTTCTTCAAAACAAGGACCGCACTGGGAACTTTGGGACAGGGAGAATTGTTGGCTACTGGGAAGAACTCTGACAGAAGGTGAGGAGTAGACCTCTCCTTACCCTGAATTTTGCAGGGTTGGTCCAACTACACATTCCTTTTCACTTGTATTCTCCTAGTGCCACAAGTTCTCCCTGGAGAATAATTAGCTGAGCATTATTAAAACCACTGCTCTAACATTTAAATCAGCCCTAAGTGAAGAGTGTGATGATTTACAGTGCTGGAAAGAGGCAGCTCTGCTTCCCTCCCTGTGGAACCCGCACATGTTTGAAACATAAATACTAGTGTTTTAAACTGTCACTGGGAAGGTTTTTCCACCCCTTCTTACACTGTTTTCCCACTCTCACTTTCTAGATAAATTTGTCACAAGTGTTGTTTGGCACCTGCAGCTTGTTAGAGGCCTGTGACAAGTCATTTGGTCCTGTGAGACTCTGTTTGAACACTGAGCTCAGCTATGTAAAAAATCTTTGTGTGCCACAAATTGTTTTATGTGTTAGTGGTGGGGAGAGAGACACCCACGCAAGCTTGGCTACCATTTTTGCAATAACTCTTTCGGGTTTCTAACTGGTCGCATGGGGTGACTTGTACGCATTAGATGGCTCCAAAACTAAACAGAGCTGAGATGGGTTTATCTTGCTGTGTTGGGAGAAATGAGGTCAGTGAATTCCTTGAGATTTGAAGCTTTGTGATAAAAATCTATTTCTTCTCAGCTGTGTGAAATGCAAACTCATAGATTTGCAGCCTCAGTTGAAACTTCTACATCACTGTGCTTGAAGGATTAAGTCCTTCCAGTTGGAATAGCGTTGTTTCTGTTTTTGGTGTAAATGTCACTGCATGTCTGTGTAATTTCCATTGCAGGAACCACTAATCAGATTATGCAAAGACAATGCCACTGCTTGGTTGTTCCCCCACATATGTTCCCCACTGAATACTGGTAGAAAATCAAGAGTGTGGAGGCCAACCTAGTCTCCCCCATCAGAGTTTCAGAGATTGTGACATGAAGATATGGGGGGAATTCTCCCCCATGTTCGGAAGCTATGGGAAGACACAGCTTCCCCCACTACAAATGTTGAAAGTTCTTGAAGAAAATTTTACAAAGATGCCCTCTTTTTCTAGAGCGGTCATAAAAGAAAAGAGTCATCTCAGGAATGTTATCAGCAGACAGAGTTTCCTGATAAATTCCAGCCCTAACTTAACTATTGAGGCCTCTGACTTTGCAAGTCCTCCAGCTGTGGTCATTCTGACACAAAGCTGTCTGAGCTTATTAAGTGGATGTGCCAGGGATGGGAGGCATGCTGAAAGCTTCTGCATGTTCCCTGTGAGGCAAATCGTTGTATTCTTTTGACCTGGTGCACATCTGCTTTTCCCACCAACCACAAGTGACCATCCTGCCCGTAGCAGCCTCTCCATTCCTTTCTATGTTGAGCACCCTAACCGCAGTATTCAAAGGTGAGTGCTGTTGTATATGCAGCCAAAGTAGCACCATCCATGAGCAAGAGGGAGGTATTGGCAGGTCTGAGGAACACCAGGTTTTGCAGAATGCAAATGCTAACAGGGTGCTATGAAAACTGAACTATTTCATGGCCCCAGAATGTTGTATGACACTTGGGGTAGAATGGAGAACTTGGTGGGGGGCGGGATAGGCAAAGCACTGGCTCTTGACATGGCTGTGCTGGGTTAAATATTCTAGAGGAAAATCTGAAACAGCCCTGAGGAGAACATGGGTGATTGTTGTTGTAGTAAGAAAATGACAAACTATCCACCATATGGGCTTCAAACTAACCCGTTCACTGAGCGTGGGTTCCCTTACAGAAAACAGTGAAAATTGTACCTGATTCCATTCCAAGGTAGGCAAGCCAGTGGCAACAACCCATCTGCTTGCTTGTAGGCTGCTACTTTTGCTCAGAGGTGTTGTCATTGCCGAGCTCCCTTTCTCTTTTTCTTTTGTCAGTTTTTATACTGACAGTATCAGAAGCTGCCACCCTTGCCTGGGTAACAAGTGCTTCCTTAAGAAAGGGAAAAGTATGTCACCTAAAAACAGAGATGTTACATTGTCATAGTGATATCTTTCATGAGGGAATGAGAAAGTCTTTGAAGACAATTTTTGTGAGTTGATGGAGCTGTCACTTGTTACGGAAAGGATTGCAGGATGGATCTGTGGCAGAGCTGATCTTAAAATACGAATGCATTGATGGTTTAAGTTCTACTCTAGGATAATAAGCTAAGAAATAAGTGTCTTAAAAAGCATCTCTTAGAAATCCCAGAGTTGGGTTTCTGAAGCAATTCTTTCCAGATGCTATCTCTGTGAAATTACCTGCAGCATTGACAGCCTGGGAAATCCTTTTGTTCTTTTTACATTCGGAGATGCATCAGCTTCATTCTTCATCTCAAAGGACAGCTTGCAAATCACTATCACTGGGCAGCAGCTTTGATATGAAGGAAGATCTCTTGATGAAAGGAAGTTTGGGACTCCTTTGGCCAGGGAGCAGGGAAGTTTTATCTCTGCTGCTCACTGTACTGTAGTTCCTTGTGCGGTTTGTGAATGGAGGGTTGGGACTTCTTTCTTCTGGACTAGGGTGGTTATGTGCACTATTTCACAAAGGACAAACATCTGTTGGAAGGGCTGTCATAGAAGACTTGTCACTCTGAAGACATCCTCTCCATGAAGTGCTCTCCAGTCCTAGTCTGGTTTCAGAATGAAAGGCCATAAGAATAGAGCAGGAAAAGGAAAGGAGTCCTTTTTACTGTAGATTTTACTCCACTAGCCGAACGGCAATAGGGGGCGGCCCTTATCTCTGTTTCTATGGCCATGAGCCAGTGCTGCCTGAAGAACAGAGCAGGAGGGGCCTTGAAATGCACACTCAACGGTTAGTGCCTGAGTAGCAAATAGAGCGGCAAGGAGGTCACTTGGTCAAAGTCTTCTGCGCTATGGTGAGAGGCACTGCATTTCTACTTAAACTGTAGTAAGGATTTCTAAACATGCATTTATATATCTCTATTAGCATGTGCACAATTTATGCAGATCTTTTGAATAAGCCGTTAAGGGTATTATGTTCACAAAACAGCTGCGACCTGATCTGATGATCTGCCTGTATTTTGGGACTCTCCTTGGAGGTGTGTTTATGGAGGTGATGACGAGGAAGACGTGCACATCAAAATTTGCCACTGCACCACTGCATGCAGGATTGATTTATTTAATTTATTTATTTTTCGGTTTCTATCCTGCCTTTTTCCTACAAAGGGCTCAAGGCAGCTTACGTCATTCTCCTCCTCCATCTTATCCCCACAACAACCACCCTGTGAGGTAGGTTGGGCTGAGAGTCTGTGACGGGCCCAAAGCCACCCAGTTGGCTCCATGGCCGAGCGGGGACTCGAACCCAGATCCTCTGAGTCCCAGGCCCAGGCTCTTCACCACTACGCCACTTTCTCCTCCTGTCTCCCCCATGAAATTACACTTTGTTTCAGTAGACAATTGTCTCTTTAAAGGAAAGCAAATGAAAGAAAGGACTTGCACTGAATTTCTTGGTAGGAAAAAGCAAGTCCCAGGTGCCCTATGGCATCAAAAAGCTGTGTCTGTACATATACAGTAACTGATTACAGCCTTGGGTATTCTTTATTGCTTCTTGCAGGATACCCAAAACAAAGGTCATCTGTTCCAAGGAATGGATTTTCTCCAAAGCCAGATCTGCAGACTCGAGAAGCTGAGCGGCAGTTTATCCAGCAAATGAAGGAAAAGTGTAACGAACAGGCCAGGAAACTCAGCTGTATGCAAGAGGAACTTAAGAGGACAAGCTACGGCTTTGATGTCTTTGTTATAACAACCCAGTATTTCTTTCAGAAGGTAAGGTCTCATTGCATTCCATGCTCCCAGTGTTCTTAGTGGTAATTTTCTTATTGAATCATGAAATTTTATTAATAGAATAAAGATCACTAAAGAAACAAAAGAATTCACTCAGTGTAATAGTTTGTCTACAATTGACATGCTTATTCAATGTCTGCAGTAAAAAGACCTTAGGAGGACCTCATTACCTAATGAAAGAGTGAAAATATAATTTATAAATGTATGAAAAAAGAGAGTGTGAGAGTGTGTATTAGTCAGAAGAAATAAATACAGTTGTACTTGTATGGAATTTGATCACAATTAGAAAAAAAACAGGAAATGAATAGAATTCACAGTGCCATGGTATTTTTCTGAAGGCTGGATCTTTGCTTGCTGTACATAATAAGTTTATACTTAAGCATATTCTCACATATTTTATCAACCCAATGCTCTTTAGTTGGTTGCTTTGGAGATTTCCAATGTATTATGCTATTCATGATTTTGCAGCTGCATACAATTGCTTAAGAAGCTGTTTGTGCAGAAATCAGGGTCCATGAGGTTGAAAAGGATGAAGAAGCATAGCTTTAGGAATTAGCAGTGATCTTACATGAGAAAACTCCTGATGGAAATCAGCAACTATTCCCACCAAAGATAAAGTATAAACCAATCTGACGATATACCTTTCAACAATATTCTCTATATGTTTGTTTGTTTGTTTGTTTGTTTAAAACACTTCTATGCCACCCCCCTTGCAACAAAGCCTCGGGGTGGCTCACAACATAAATAAAACATATAAATATATCAATTATACAATTAACATTAAAAATGTTTAATGTATTTGCTGAAACCGTGCAGGAGTAATATGCTGGCATGTAAAGCTGCACAGCATTATCCTCACTTTGGTCAGTGGTCTCTGAAAAATCACAGCCTTTGGGCTGTTGCAGAGGGGAGAGGAAAGATATGTTGATATGGATTTAAAGACTGGGCTGCATAAGTCCTATACTTTATGGTCTAGAATGGAACGATTTTGAGAAGAATGATATGGGAAACTGCACCTCTCTAGCTCCAATGTTTCATCTTCCAACCCTGTCTCCAGTACAAAGTGGGTGAATAGAAGAGTCTGAAGAATGCACTTTCAGTGTGAATTGGGACACACTGGGTGCATGCCCGTCCTACAGAAATCTTGCTAGAATTTGTGTGGAAATGTGTTAATGGTTGCCTTACTTAAAGCAGCCAAAATTGAGAGATTACAGCAGTGTCTTAAAACCTGTGTCTGCACTCTGTTTTCATCACTTGCTATAAGCATAAGGTTTTATGGCCCTAAAATGTACACCACAGTGTAGAGATAATAGGCAAATGAACAAGGTACTGTGCACTTTGTCTGTGTGAGAATAGTATCAAAATGTAGCATATTCTGTTGATAGCTAAACATTTTGCATATTCCCTGCAATCATTTTGCATATTCCCTGTTAAGTTGTGTATGTTCACCACACTGTGAAGTGAAAGTGCACGTTGGGCAGCTTTTGTGCACACTTCCAGTCATTTAATATTAGCCACAATGCCTGTCCATTCTCTCATTCTCTCTCTCTGTCCCCCCTCCACCACCACCACCCCACCAATAGAGGGAGAGAAAGGGAAAGAACCAGCATACAAAATGGTAGTGAAAAATTGTTTCAGTTCAATCAGCATAAGGATTGATCCAAAAGCCAGATATACTTTGAAGTAAATAATCTTCTAAGGCAATCAGTACTGATGCTCAGACTGTTTCTTCTCTCAGGATGATACCACCTAAAGATCCTTCTCTTGAAGACTGCAAGTGTGTCCATGATCTTGTCACACTTAGCATCTGCTGCTGCCTTTGATAATTTGCACATTTAAGCTATTGACTATCTTTCACTATTCCTACACAGGATACGCTTCCATGGCAATGCCAACATATAGACAGTGGTGAATGGCAATTGTTTTTCAGTGCTTTGTGGTGGTCTGTGATTTTGCTGCAAAATCTATGCTGCAAAGCCACCTTGCTCATTGCTTCCCGGTGTTGTGAGTAGTACTAGTTGGCATGATAGGATCCACCAGAAAACCCATTGACCAGCTAATACTATTGAAATCACATTAGAAATTCCTTATGCTAGTGTAATGTATTTTCTGTTAGCACTACTGTCCAGTAGGATATTGCCCAGTGAAAATGAGCATATATGAGTAGAATTCAAATTGTGTCACTTGTCAAACATTTCTCAGGTATGGCCTTCTTATTTGACAAACCTAGGGCAACACTGCTGATTCAACAGTTGATGGAAAGAGTTTTCCTATCCCGGTACTCCTTGGTTATGCTTTACTGATGTGCAAGAACTGAGAACAGGAAAACAATTGTGAATGCATTGTTAATTGAGGCAGGCAAGAAAGTGCCAGACAACTGTCAAGGAATATCAGCCAGGTCCAATGAGCTCAGCCAAGAATAGTTCCTAGCCTGTTCCACACAGGCACAGGTAACATCAAATCACTGGGGAAAATGCTAGAACTCCAGATCCCAATTAAAGTAATTGAGAACAGGTGAAGGGGGACACTTCAGCAAGATATTCAAGATCAGGTAGGACTAGAAAGAAGCAGCCACCACATTTGGGTACCCCAAGATCCATTTATCAGTCTTAAGTGGGTGTTTAAATAGCTTAACTAAACACATCCAAATGATTAATGCTGATTCTGTCAATGCATAGTCATCATATCAACGTATACAATCGTTCAGCCAATGATGTATTGAGCTAAAAAAGAATAAAATCAGTCATGTAAATTAATGTTCCACAGTAGCACAATCACACAAAGAGGCAGGATTCAGATTACACATACAACCTTCGTTTGTCACTTCCTGTGGCAGCCACTAATAAGTAGCATGCCAACTTTCTGTTTGCATTTGATCTTTGGTTGTGGTATAAATACTTCAAGAAAGGGAAAACCAGTGAAACGTTTGTAACATTAATGACTGCTAACATTTTGAGTGATCTCTATTTATAGGTGATTGTCTAGTCAAATAACAAGAGGCTTTTACTATTATTCATAAAAACTTAGAGATTGTGGGGAAGTGAAAGCCATATTTCACACAGGCAGCTATTTATAAAAGGATGGATTATCAGGTTCATAGATTATCAGCTGTCTGTTATTTAATTATTAATGGTGTTATTAATTAGAAGAGTAATTAGCAAGGGCCAGACTCTAATCCTGGATATGACTATATAGTGCCTATTGGCTGGGTGGGGAAACACTTTGTGAACTGTCCTTGGTACTGAGCAGGGCTTGATGTGATGGTAAACTTGATGAGATAAATGAATGACTCACTAACATTAAAATACACAGATCATTTCATGTAGTAAGACACCTGGAAATTTCTAATATCAGTTACTGCCAACTGGGGAAAGTTAAATTAACCTATAATCAATGAAGAAAATTTTCTGGCCTTGTGTCAAGAAACAAAATTAAACATGCAGTTGAAATACGTGCATTAGAAGTGGTAACAGTGACATCTACTGGGGGTAATATAAAATGACATCGTAGGTAAACGAAAGAAGGCATTGCTTATGTTGAGTCTAAGAGGAAAAGAGGATTGTGTTCAGTTGGTTTGTTTTAATTGATTTAGACTAGACAGAAAAGATAGCTCATATCCTGGCCCATTCAATCTCTTCTCCACCAACCAAAATACCCTCTCTCCCCCAAGTTTGCACTTTGAACAAAGCGTTCTCTCCACCTTCCAGTTCAGATTCAGTTGTGGCTGCCCACAACCTTGAGCAAGTGCTGGCAATGGTGCTTTGGTATATAATCTGAATGAATGGAAATACTGACATTTCACTCCCAGCATTTTTTAACTTTAGCTATGGGCCAAGCAGTCCAAATTTAACAAACAGTGCAAGGGTCCAGAGATAGTCATGCTGCACATAGTCCCAGCTGAGTATGTGCAGAATCTCTCTTGCATGCCCACTGCTTCCAGACAAAGCATGGCCCTCACTCATTCATAGAACTGTAGGGATGGGGAGAAATTCATTTGGCTCTCACTTACCTAATTGATTTCTCATATAACGCCGGTCCCCTATCAACTACGCTGGCTGCCAATTGAAGTCCGGGCCCAAATTAAGGTATTGGTGTTGACCTATAAAGCCCTAAATGACTTGGAACCAGGATACCTGAAGGACCGTCTTCTTCCTTGTACACCCTCCTGCCCCTTAAGATCTACAGCAGAGGCCCTGCTCCAGGAACCCTCCTTGAAGGAGGTTATGAGGGTGAATACCCAGAGGAGGGCCTTCTCTGTGGTGGCACCCTGACTGTGGAATACACTCCCCAGAGAGGTTTGCCTGGCACCAATGTTATATTCTTCTTGGTGCCAGGCAAAAACCATTTTATTTGCCCATTATTTTAAATTTTAATTATTTTAATTAGGTTTTAACATTGTCATGCTCATTATTGTACTTTGTTCTGATTTATTTATTGTTGTAAGCTGTCCTGGGATGTTTCATAAAGGACAGGATATAAATATTGTTAATAAATAAATAAATAAATAAATGTGCACTTACAAACCAATACATGAACTGAAAATCATTTCTCCTTTGCTCTTTATGGCCAAAAATTACATAGATAAGTATATATATTAGGAAAACACACACATAAAAATGGATGTATTAGTGCAAACATTATAAATGCAGTATATTAGGAAAATTGCTGGCAAAAATATGTGCACAGAGGGGATATATGCACATAAAAATGTGTATGAATTTTCATGCAAACTTAAAAGAAAAATCCTCAAAGTTAGAGAGCAATTGAGCTTAGAACAGAAAGAGATAAGCTGAGAGAACTTGCAATGCACCAAGTCATTCATCCTTGGTCCAGATGTCATGGTCTTCCATTTGTAACTTTCCCACGTTTTCACGTTGCTTCTTCTCTCCTACTGCAAAAAGTCTGTTAAAAAGAAAAAGGTAGAATAACTACCCCATGTTTTCTCATTGGTAGTGTTAGGAACCCACTTTCTGAAAGTATCC